ATGTCCATCACGCACACTCACTCACACCCACCAACAAGTTCTCACAAATCAATTCACGCGCACACGCACACACACACACACACAGAAACCATGTCCATCACTCATCCACTCATTGCAGCAACATTCCTCATCCAACAACAAACATCTCCTCCAAACACTCACACAATCACGCACACTCACGCACACACACACACACTATCAACATCAACAACACAAACACAATACTCCACCATCTCATCCACATATACACACTCGATCATCACAACTGCCAGCAACTGCACACAAATGCACACAAATGCACACAATGCACACACGTGAACCACTCGTCTCTCTCACACACAGACGAACTCTTCAACCACATGCAGATGTCACACTGCAACTGTCATTGTCACAGCCTCCTCCAACATCCGACAACACACAAATTACTATCACGTCAATCTGTTTCATTCTCTTCCGTTTACAGAACCTGGAGCGACACCAGACACAGCATCGCCTTCCAGTACAACACCGGACGACGACGATCTCTACATCTACTACATTGACAAGTCTGGTAAGAGGAGAAGACGACCTCGACCTCGTGCAACACCATCAGACACACCAACCAGCTCCACACCAGTCACCGGTTCAGTGAAACGTGAGTCACACACATAACAATTCCTATTCCACTGTACACACATCCTCACACATATTCACACTGATCTCCTCATCGCACATCCCGTCACCTGCAACCTTCTATCCACTTTCTCTTCAATGTCCCACTGTCCATTGGGAATCACGCAGAACATCTCATTGACACTGTGCTGCCACACACGTCAACTCCACTCTCTCTCCTCCACTCACATCACCATCTCCAACACAACACAATCCGAACGTCCACTCCTACATACTCACTCACACCCACCAACAAGTTCTCACAAATCAATTCACGCGCACACGCACACACACACACACACAGAAACCATGTCCATCACTCATCCACTCATTGCAGCAACATTCCTCATCCAACAACAAACATCTCCTCCAAACACTCACACAATCACGCACACTCACGCACACACACACACACACTATCAACATCAACAACACAAACACAATACTCCACCATCTCATCCACATATACACACTCGATCATCACAACTGACAGCAACTGCACACAATGCACACACGTGAACCACTCGTCTCTCTCACACACAGACGAACTCTTCAACCACATGCAGATGTCACACTGCAACTGTCATTGTCACAGCCTCCTCCAACATCCGACAACACACAAATTACTATCACGTCAATCTGTTTCATTCTCTTCCGTTTACAGAACCTGGAGCGACACCAGACACAGCATCGCCTTCCAGTACAACACCGGACGACGACGATCTCTACATCTACTACATTGACAAGTCTGGTAAGAGGAGAAGACGACCTCGACCTCGTGCAACACCATCAGACACACCAACCAGCTCCACACCAGTCACCGGTTCAGTGAAACGTGAGTCACACACATAACAATTCCTATTCCACTGTACACACATCCTCACACATATTCACACTGATCTCCTCATCGCACATCCCGTCACCTGCAACCTTCTATCCACTTTCTCTTCAATGTCCCACTGTCCATTGGGAATCACGCAGAACATCTCATTGACACTGTGCTGCCACACACGTCAACTCCACTCTCTCTCCTCCACTCACATCACCATCTCCAACACAACACAATCCGAACGTCCACTCCTACATACTCACTCACACCCACCAACAAGTTCTCACAAATCAATTCACGCGCACACGCACACACACACACACACAGAAACCATGTCCATCACTCATCCACTCATTGCAGCAACATTCCTCATCCAACAACAAACATCTCCTCCAAACACTCACACAATCACGCACACTCACGCACACACACACACACTATCAACATCAACAACACAAACACAATACTCCACCATCTCATCCACATATACACACTCGATCATCACAACTGACAGCAACTGCACACAATGCACACACGTGAACCACTCGTCTCTCTCACACACAGACGAACTCTTCAACCACATGCAGATGTCACACTGCAACTGTCATTGTCACAGCCTCCTCCAACATCCGACAACACACAAATTACTATCACGTCAATCTGTTTCATTCTCTTCCGTTTACAGAACCTGGAGCGACACCAGACACAGCATCGCCTTCCAGTACAACACCGGACGACGACGATCTCTACATCTACTACATTGACAAGTCTGGTAAGAGGAGAAGACGACCTCGACCTCGTGCAACACCATCAGACACACCAACCAGCTCCACACCAGTCACCGGTTCAGTGAAACGTGAGTCACACACATAACAATTCCTATTCCACTGTACACACATCCTCACACATATTCACACTGATCTCCTCATCGCACATCCCGTCACCTGCAACCTTCTATCCACTTTCTCTTCAATGTCCCACTGTCCATTGGGAATCACGCAGAACATCTCATTGACACTGTGCTGCCACACACGTCAACTCCACTCTCTCTCCTCCACTCACATCACCATCTCCAACACAACACAATCCGAACGTCCACTCCTACATACTCACTCACACCCACCAACAAGTTCTCACAAATCAATTCACGCGCACACGCACACGCACACACACACAGAAACCATGTCCATCACTCATCCACTCATTGCAGCAACATTCCTCATCCAACAACAAACATCTCCTCCAAACACTCACACAATCACGCACACTCACGCACACACACACACACACTATCAACATCAACAACACAAACACAATACTCCACCATCTCATCCACATATACACACTCGATCATCACAACTGCCAGCAACTGCACACAAATGCACACAAATGCACACAATGCACACACGTGAACCACTCGTCTCTCTCACACACAGACGAACTCTTCAACCACATGCAGATGTCACACTGCAACTGTCATTGTCACAGCCTCCTCCAACATCCGACAACACACAAATTACTATCACGTCAATCTGTTTCATTCTCTTCCGTTTACAGAACCTGGAGCGACACCAGACACAGCATCGCCTTCCAGTACAACACCGGACGACGACGATCTCTACATCTACTACATTGACAAGTTTGGTAAGAGGAGAAGACGACCTCGACCTCGTGCAACACCATCAGACACACCAACCAGCTCCACACCAGTCACCGGTTCAGTGAAACGTGAGTCACACACATAACAATTCCTATTCCACTGTACACACATCCTCACACATATTCACACTGATCTCCTCATCGCACATCCCGTCACCTGCAACCTTCTATCCACTTTCTCTTCAATGTCCCACTGTCCATTGGGAATCACGCAGAACATCTCATTGACACTGTGCTGCCACACACGTCAACTCCACTCTCTCTCCTCCACTCACATCACCATCTCCAACACAACACAATCCGAACGTCCACTCCTACATACTCACTCACACCCACCAACAAGTTCTCACAAATCAATTCACGCGCACACGCACACGCACACACACACAGAAACCATGTCCATCACTCATCCACTCATTGCAGCAACATTCCTCATCCAACAACAAACATCTCCTCCAAACACTCACACAATCACGCACACTCACGCACACACACACACACACTATCAACATCAACAACACAAACACAATACTCCACCATCTCATCCACATATACACACTCGATCATCACAACTGACAGCAACTGCACACAATGCACACACGTGAACCACTCGTCTCTCTCACACACAGACGAACTCTTCAACCACATGCAGATGTCACACTGCAACTGTCATTGTCACAGCCTCCTCCAACATCCGACAACACACAAATTACTATCACGTCAATCTGTTTCATTCTCTTCCGTTTACAGAACCTGGAGCGACACCAGACACAGCATCGCCTTCCAGTACAACACCGGACGACGACGATCTCTACATCTACTACATTGACAAGTCTGGTAAGAGGAGAAGACGACCTCGACCTCGTGCAACACCATCAGACACACCAACCAGCTCCACACCAGTCACCGGTTCAGTGAAACGTGAGTCACACACATAACAATTCCTATTCCACTGTACACACATCCTCACACATATTCACACTGATCTCCTCATCGCACATCCCGTCACCTGCAACCTTCTATCCACTTTCTCTTCAATGTCCCACTGTCCATTGGGAATCACGCAGAACATCTCATTGACACTGTGCTGCCACACACGTCAACTCCACTCTCTCTCCTCCACTCACATCACCATCTCCAACACAACACAATCCGAACGTCCACTCCTACATACTCACTCACACCCACCAACAAGTTCTCACAAATCAATTCACGCGCACACGCACACGCACACACACACAGAAACCATGTCCATCACTCATCCACTCATTGCAGCAACATTCCTCATCCAACAACAAACATCTCCTCCAAACACTCACACAATCACGCACACTCACGCACACACACACACACTATCAACATCAACAACACAAACACAATACTCCACCATCTCATCCACATATACACACTCGATCATCACAACTGACAGCAACTGCACACAATGCACACACGTGAACCACTCGTCTCTCTCACACACAGACGAACTCTTCAACCACATGCAGATGTCACACTGCAACTGTCATTGTCACAGCCTCCTCCAACATCCGACAACACACAAATTACTATCACGTCAATCTGTTTCATTCTCTTCCGTTTACAGAACCTGGAGCGACACCAGACACAGCATCGCCTTCCAGTACAACACCGGACGACGACGATCTCTACATCTACTACATTGACAAGTCTGGTAAGAGGAGAAGACGACCTCGACCTCGTGCAACACCATCAGACACACCAACCAGCTCCACACCAGTCACCGGTTCAGTGAAACGTGAGTCACACACATAACAATTCCTATTCCACTGTACACACATCCTCACACATATTCACACTGATCTCCTCATCGCACATCCCGTCACCTGCAACCTTCTATCCACTTTCTCTTCAATGTCCCACTGTCCATTGGGAATCACGCAGAACATCTCATTGACACTGTGCTGCCACACACGTCAACTCCACTCTCTCTCCTCCACTCACATCACCATCTTCAACACAACACAATCCGAACGTCCACTCCTACATACTCACTCACACCCACCAACAAGTTCTCACAAATCAATTCACGCGCACACGCACACGCACACACACACAGAAACCATGTCCATCACTCATCCACTCATTGCAGCAACATTCCTCATCCAACAACAAACATCTCCTCCAAACACTCACACAATCACGCACACTCACGCACACACACACACACTATCAACATCAACAACACAAACACAATACTCCACCATCTCATCCACATATACACACTCGATCATCACAACTGACAGCAACTGCACACAATGCACACACGTGAACCACTCGTCTCTCTCACACACAGACGAACTCTTCAACCACATGCAGATGTCACACTGCAACTGTCATTGTCACAGCCTCCTCCAACATCCGACAACACACAAATTACTATCACGTCAATCTGTTTCATTCTCTTCCGTTTACAGAACCTGGAGCGACACCAGACACAGCATCGCCTTCCAGTACAACACCGGACGACGACGATCTCTACATCTACTACATTGACAAGTCTGGTAAGAGGAGAAGACGACCTCGACCTCGTGCAACACCATCAGACACACCAACCAGCTCCACACCAGTCACCGGTTCAGTGAAACGTGAGTCACACACATAACAATTCCTATTCCACTGTACACACATCCTCACACATATTCACACTGATCTCCTCATCGCACATCCCGTCACCTGCAACCTTCTATCCACTTTCTCTTCAATGTCCCACTGTCCATTGGGAATCACGCAGAACATCTCATTGACACTGTGCTGCCACACACGTCAACTCCACTCTCTCTCCTCCACTCACATCACCATCTCCAACACAACACAATCCGAACGTCCACTCCTACATACTCACTCACACCCACCAACAAGTTCTCACAAATCAATTCACGCGCACACGCACACGCACACACACACAGAAACCATGTCCATCACTCATCCACTCATTGCAGCAACATTCCTCATCAAACAACAAACATCTCCTCCAAACACTCACACAATCACGCACACTAACGCACACACACACACACTATCAACATCAACAACACAAACACAATACTCCACCATCTCATCCACATATACACACTCGATCATCACAACTGACAGCAACTGCACACAATGCACACACGTGAACCACTCGTCTCTCTCACACACAGACGAACTCTTCAACCACATGCAGATGTCACACTGCAACTGTCATTGTCACAGCCTCCTCCAACATCCGACAACACACAAATTACTATCACGTCAATCTGTTTCATTCTCTTCCGTTTACAGAACCTGGAGCGACACCAGACACAGCATCGCCTTCCAGTACAACACCGGACGACGACGATCTCTACATCTACTACATTGACAAGTCTGGTAAGAGGAGAAGACGACCTCGACCTCGTGCAACACCATCAGACACACCAACCAGCTCCACACCAGTCACCGGTTCAGTGAAACGTGAGTCACACACATAACAATTCCTATTCCACTGTACACACATCCTCACACATATTCACACTGATCTCCTCATCGCACATCCCGTCACCTGCAACCTTCTATCCACTTTCTCTTCAATGTCCCACTGTCCATTGGGAATCACGCAGAACATCTCATTGACACTGTGCTGCCACACACGTCAACTCCACTCTCTCTCCTCCACTCACATCACCATCTTCAACACAACACAATCCGAACGTCCACTCCTACATACTCACTCACACCCACCAACAAGTTCTCACAAATCAATTCACGCGCACACGCACACGCACACACACACAGAAACCATGTCCATCACTCATCCACTAATTGCAGCAACATTCCTCATCCAACAACATACATCTCCTCCAAACACTCACACAATCACGCACACTCACGCACACACACACACACTATCAACATCAACAACACAAACACAATACTCCACCATCTCATCCACATATACACACTCGATCATCACAACTGACAGCAACTGCACACAATGCACACACGTGAACCACTCGTCTCTCTCACACACAGACGAACTCTTCAACCACATGCAGATGTCACACTGCAACTGTCATTGTCACAGCCTCCTCCAACATCCGACAACACACAAATTACTATCACGTCAATCTGTTTCATTCTCTTCCGTTTACAGAACCTGGAGCGACACCAGACACAGCATCGCCTTCCAGTACAACACCGGACGACGACGATCTCTACATCTACTACATTGACAAGTCTGGTAAGAGGAGAAGACGACCTCGACCTCGTGCAACACCATCAGACACACCAACCAGCTCCACACCAGTCACCGGTTCAGTGAAACGTGAGTCACACACATAACAATTCCTATTCCACTGTACACACATCCTCACACATATTCACACTGATCTCCTCATCGCACATCCCGTCACCTGCAACCTTCTATCCACTTTCTCTTCAATGTCCCACTGTCCATTGGGAATCACGCAGAACATCTCATTGACACTGTGCTGCCACACACGTCAACTCCACTCTCTCTCCTCCACTCACATCACCATCTCCAACACAACACAATCCGAACGTCCACTCCTACATACTCACTCACACCCACCAACAAGTTCTCACAAATCAATTCACGCGCACACGCACACACACACACACAGAAACCATGTCCATCACTCATCCACTCATTGCAGCAACATTCCTCATCAAACAACAAACATCTCCTCCAAACACTCACACAATCACGCACACTCACGCACACACACACACACTATCAACATCAACAACACAAACACAATACTCCACCATCTCATCCACATATACACACTCGATCATCACAACTGACAGCAACTGCACACAATGCACACACGTGAACCACTCGTCTCTCTCACACACAGACGAACTCTTCAACCACATGCAGATGTCACACTGCAACTGTCATTGTCACAGCCTCCTCCAACATCCGACAACACACAAATTACTATCACGTCAATCTGTTTCATTCTCTTCCGTTTACAGAACCTGGAGCGACACCAGACACAGCATCGCCTTCCAGTACAACACCGGACGACGACGATCTCTACATCTACTACATTGACAAGTCTGGTAAGAGGAGAAGACGACCTCGACCTCGTGCAACACCATCAGACACACCAACCAGCTCCACACCAGTCACCGGTTCAGTGAAACGTGAGTCACACACATAACAATTCCTATTCCACTGTACACACATCCTCACACATATTCACACTGATCTCCTCATCGCACATCCCGTCACCTGCAACCTTCTATCCACTTTCTCTTCAATGTCCCACTGTCCATTGGGAATCAAGCAGAACATCTCATTGACACTGTGCTGCCACACACGTCAACTCCACTCTCTCTCCTCCACTCACATCACCATCTCCAACACAACACAATCCGAACGTCCACTCCTACATACTCACTCACACCCACCAACAAGTTCTCACAAATCAATTCACGCGCACACGCACACACACACACAGAAACCATGTCCATCACTCATCCACTCATTGCAGCAACATTCCTCATCCAACAACAAACATCTCCTCCAAACACTCACACAATCACGCACACTAACGCACACACACACACTATCAACATCAACAACACTAACACAATACTCCACCATCTCATCCACATATACACACTCGATCATCACAACTGACAGCAACTGCACACAATGCACACACGTGAACCACTCGTCTCTCTCACACACAGACGAACTCTTCAACCACATGCAGATGTCACACTGCAACTGTCATTGTCACAGCCTCCTCCAACATCCGACAACACACAAATTACTATCACGTCAATCTGTTTCATTCTCTTCCGTTTACAGAACCTGGAGCGACACCAGACACAGCATCGCCTTCCAGTACAACACCGGACGACGACGATCTCTACATCTACTACATTGACAAGTCTGGTAAGAGGAGAAGACGACCTCGACCTCGTGCAACACCATCAGACACACCAACCAGCTCCACACCAGTCACCGGTTCAGTGAAACGTGAGTCACACACATAACAATTCCTATTCCACTGTACACACATCCTCACACATATTCACACTGATCTCCTCATCGCACATCCCGTCACCTGCAACCTTCTATCCACTTTCTCTTCAATGTCCCACTGTCCATTGGGAATCACGCAGAACATCTCATTGACACTGTGCTGCCACACACGTCAACTCCACTCTCTCTCCTCCATTCACATCACCATCTCCAACACAACACAATCCGAACGTCCACTCCTACATACTCACTCACACCCACCAACAAGTTCTCACAAATCAATTCACGCGCACACGCACACACACACACACAGAAACCATGTCCATCACTCATCCACTCATTGCAGCAACATTCCTCATCAAACAACAAACATCTCCTCCAAACACTCACACAATCACGCACACTCACGCACACACACACACACTATCAACATCAACAACACTAACACAATACTCCACCATCTCATCCACATATACACACTCGATCATCACAACTGACAGCAACTGCACACAATGCACACACGTGAACCACTCGTCTCTCTCACACACAGACGAACTCTTCAACCACATGCAGATGTCACACTGCAACTGTCATTGTCACAGCCTCCTCCAACATCCGACAACACACAAATTACTATCACGTCAATCTGTTTCATTCTCTTCCGTTTACAGAACCTGGAGCGACACCAGACACAGCATCGCCTTCCAGTACAACACCGGACGACGACGATCTCTACATCTACTACATTGACAAGTCTGGTAAGAGGAGAAGACGACCTCGACCTCGTGCAACACCATCAGACACACCAACCAGCTCCACACCAGTCACCGGTTCAGTGAAACGTGAGTCACACACATAACAATTCCTATTCCACTGTACACACATCCTCACACATATTCACACTGATCTCCTCATCGCACATCCCGTCACCTGCAACCTTCTATCCACTTTCTCTTCAATGTCCCACTGTCCATTGGGAATCACGCAGAACATCTCATTGACACTGTGCTGCCACACACGTCAACTCCACTCTCTCTCCTCCATTCACATCACCATCTCCAACACAACACAATCCGAACGTCCACTCCTACATACTCACTCACACCCACCAACAAGTTCTCACAAATCAATTCACGCGCACACGCACACACACACACACAGAAACCATGTCCATCACTCATCCACTCATTGCAGCAACATTCCTCATCAAACAACAAACATCTCCTCCAAACACTCACACAATCACGCACACTCACGCACACACACACACACTATCAACATCAACAACACTAACACAATACTCCACCATCTCATCCACATATACACACTCGATCATCACAACTGCCAGCAACTGCACACAAATGCACACAAATGCACACAATGCACACACGTGAACCACTCGTCTCTCTCACACACAGACGAACTCTTCAACCACATGCAGATGTCACACTGCAACTGTCATTGTCACAGCCTCCTCCAACATCCGACAACACACAAATTACTATCACGTCAATCTGTTTCATTCTCTTCCGTTTACAGAACCTGGAGCGACACCAGACACAGCATCGCCTTCCAGTACAACACCGGACGACGACGATCTCTACATCTACTACATTGACAAGTCTGGTAAGAGGAGAAGACGACCTCGACCTCGTGCAACACCATCAGACACACCAACCAGCTCCACACCAGTCACCGGTTCAGTGAAACGTGAGTCACACACATAACAATTCCTATTCCACTGTACACACATCCTCACACATATTCACACTGATCTCCTCATCGCACATCCCGTCACCTGCAACCTTCTATCCACTTTCTCTTCAATGTCCCACTGTCCATTGGGAATCACGCAGAACATCTCATTGACACTGTGCTGCCACACACGTCAACTCCACTCTCTCTCCTCCACTCACATCACCATCTCCAACACAACACAATCCGAACGTCCACTCCTACATACTCACTCACACCCACCAACAAGTTCTCACAAATCAATTCACGCGCACACGCACACACACACACACAGAAACCATGTCCATCACTCATCCACTCATTGCAGCAACATTCCTCATCAAACAACAAACATCTCCTCCAAACACTCACACAATCACGCACACTCACGCACACACACACACACTATCAACATCAACAACACAAACACAATACTCCACCATCTCATCCACATATACACACTCGATCATCACAACTGACAGAAACTGCACACAGTACACACACGTGAACCACTCGTCTCTCTCACACACAGACGAACTCTTCAACCACATGCAGATGTCACACTGCAACTGTCATTGTCACAGCCTCCTCCAACATCCGACAACACACAAATTACTATCACGTCAATCTGTTTCATTCTCTTCCGTTTACAGAACCTGGAGCGACACCAGACACAGCATCGCCTTCCAGTACAACACCGGACGACGACGATCTCTACATCTACTACATTGACAAGTCTGGTAAGAGGAGAAGACGACCTCGACCTCGTGCAACACCATCAGACACACCAACCAGCTCCACACCAGTCACCGGTTCAGTGAAACGTGAGTCACACACATAACAATTCCTATTCCACTGTACACACATCCTCACACATATTCACACTGATCTCCTCATCGCACATCCCGTCACCTGCAACCTTCTATCCACTTTCTCTTCAATGTCCCACTGTCCATTGGGAATCACGCGGAACTTCTTATTTTCACTGTGTTTTCTCATATTTTTTGGGCCTTTTTTGTATTCCACTTTTTTCTACTTTTGTCTATCCATTTTTTGTTATTTTCTTTATGTTTTTGGCTTTGCTTTTTTCATTCTGGTTTTATTTTTCTGTTTTATTTTTACAACTTTTACTTTCTTTTATTCGTGCTTTCTTCTCGTTGTGTCATATATCTTTTTTTTTATTTTTGGAATTCTTTTTATTAGTCCTCCGTCTTGTTTTTTTTATTTTCCTTTGTTCTTCTCCTCTGATTACTGTTGTTCTTTCTTTTCTTTGGAACTTCTCTTCGACCGATCTCCATGGTTTTTTGTAACCTTGATAGTTATGAAATTATTATGAAATAGGCTCTCTAGTTTTAATCGAGCAGATATAATATTTTTCATCGTATTCACTGATCTTTCCTATTGATTCATGCGGACTTATAGATACTCAGTATCGTTGGATTTGTTGTGATTACCACATAGTTTTCAGTTTTTCCCCTTGATAATTCGTTTCCACCATCATTCCAGTTAGTGTAGATAGATAGATAGATAGATAGATTGATAGTAAGATAGGTGAAGCATTATTCAGACCTTATGTACAACTGTCAAACTTTCACATTAGTCTATTCATTTCATAAATTTTTTAAACAATTTTTTTAGCCATAACTACTGACGTTGAATATTATGAAGATTATGAAGATGTATCTACTACAATTGGACTAAAGAAAATTTCGAAACGAACCAGAAATTCAGTAAATCAGTTCAAGCCAATTATGAAGAAAACTGTGATATACAAAGAGAAACCTTCATCAAATTCATCAGATGAATATTGTAAGTTATAAGAAAATGAATAATACATTACGTTTATCATTATTTTATACTGAATACTCGAATTCTTTGAATATAAAGCAATTAGTCCCTTTGATAAATTTTGATAGTGTAGTAATAAGAAGACGAAGATTATCAGAACTATGTGGTATATTAGCGCAGTACATTTCGAACAAACTCCGCCTGTAGCTCTCTTAGAGTTACTGACGGTCCCAAGCCCGGGTAAAGGAGGAGGGTTGGGCATGGGGTTAGCGACCCCATCCCGTAGAAAAGCCAACTCGCTAAAAAAACGCTAACTAGAAAAAATAATTCAAACCATTTAAACTCTGCCCTGGGAGTTGAAGGAATAATTATGACGTCTCATGATGAAAGCCGAAATTCTTCGGAAGTCACGAGACCGATGCACCTTCTAACAACCGGAGCAACACTCTTTATAGGTACATGGAACGTCCGGACAATGTGGGAGACAGGAATGACCAGCTAAATAGCAATGGAAATGAAGAGATACAACTTGGCAGTACTCGGAATCAGCGAAACCTATTGGACACAAACTGGACAACAAAGGCTAGGTGCGGGATAGATGCTGCTGTACTCCGGTCACGGAGGGGAAAATGCTCCACACACTCAAGGAGTTGCTCTAATGCTGTCCAAAGAAGCAAGAAATGCACTTGTGGGATGGGAATCTCATGGACCCAGGATAATCAAAGCATCATTCAGAACAAAGAAGCAAGGGATCACAATGAACGTTATCCAATGTTATGCACCCACCAATGATAGCAACGACGATGATAAAGATCAGTTCTACTCAAGGCTGCAATCAATTATAGAGAAGTGCTCACGAAAGGACCTCACCATCCTGATGGGAGATCTAAAGGCTAAAGTTGGAGTGGACAACACAGGATATGAAGATGTAATTGGACGACATGGATTAGGAGAGAGAAATGAAAATGGGGAGAGACTTGTAAACCTATGTGCATTCAACAAATTGGTTATAGGCGGCACAATATTCCCACACAAGCGCATACACAAAGCTACATGGATCTCACCGGACCAAACCACAGAGAACCAGATAGATCACATCTGTATCAACAAAAAATTCCGAAGATCAATGGAAGATGTGAGAACCCGGAGAGGAGCTGACATAGCTTCAGATCACCACTTGGTTGTGGCCAAGATGAGACTGAAGCTAAAGAAAGACTGGACAACTGGACAAACAGCACTGCAAAGGTTCAATACAGCCTTCCTTCGAGATACTGTAGTGGCCTAAATCTGATCCCTTTTTGATCGTACGTACTGTCTATCCTCGTATGTAATAAATGACTTTATCCGCGTTGGTGAATAACGGAATTAAATAAGTCAAATACGAGAATGGATTTAGAATACATATATTTCCTACACTCATTGATCTGGCCAGGGAATCAGAACTATGAAGTAAATGGATGAAAGCAGAACATAAGTGACATACAGTGGAGATGGCGGAGAAGCCAACTCGAGAGCAAAGCGAGAACAATGCGTATTGGAGATGGCTGGGAAGCCAACTCGGGAGCGAAGCAAAAGATAATACGTATTGGAGATGGCGGGGAAGCCAACTCGATTTAAGCAAGCGTTAATCAACATTTATAGTCGGACAAAAATGAGTGACAGACATACGATGAATAAGATACGAAGTTTACACATATATGCTCATATAAAAATATAGTCAAGGTTTATAAGCAAATGATTAACAAGATCAAAATATGACTCAATGTATAGGTGGATTGGCTTGGCCAGTAACTAGAATAAAATATATGGGCTTAACATATGAACCGATACTACAATACTGACACGCTCCATGAATTCAAGATAGCTCTCAACAACAGGTTCCAAGCTCTACAGGATCTACTGAATGAACAAGAAACTACTTTGGAGGACAACTGGAAAGGAGTAAAAGAAGCACTAACTTCAACGTGTCAGAAGGTTCTTGGTCCTAAGAAGCATCATTACAAGGAATGGATGTCTATGGGAACCCTGGACAAAATTCAAGAAAGGAAGAACAAGAAACCAGCAATTAACAACAGCCGAACACTAGCAGAAAATGTCAAAGCACAAACAGACTACGCAAAAACAAACAGGGAAGTGAAGAAAAGCATTAAGGGCGACAAGCAGAAATACATGGGAGAACTAGCAACGACGGCGGAAAAAGCTGCAATAGAGGGGAATATGAAACAACTATATGATACAACGAAGAAATTGGCAGGGAGATATAGCAAACCAGAGAGACCAGTCAAGGAAAAAGAAGGAAAGACAATCACTGAGATTCAAGAACAGAGGAAAAGATGGGCAGAATACTTTGAGGAACTGCTGAATAGACCAGCCCCATTGAATCCACCGAACATCGAAGCAGCCCACACAGACCTTCCAATAGATGTCACTCCACCAACGATCGAAGAAGTCAAGATGGCCATCAGACAAATCAAAAGTGGGAAGGCGGCAGGACTTGACAATATACCAGCAGAAGCACTGAAGTCAGACATTGAAGTAACTGCAAACATGCTTCACCTTCTATTCAAGAAGATTTGGGAAGAGGAACAAGTGCCAATGGACTGGAAAGAAGGATATCTCATCAAGATACCAAAGAAAGGAGATCTGAGCAAATGTGCGAATTACGGAGGCAGCAGTTTGTTATCAGTACCAGGAAAAGTTATCAACAGAGTGCTGCTGAACAGGATGAAAGACGCAGTAGACGCCGAACTTAGGGATCAACAGGCTGGATTCCGTAAGGATAGGTCGTGCACAGACCAGATTGCGACACTACGGATCATCGTTGAACAATCCGTTGAGTGGAACTCATCACTATACATCAACTTCGTTGACTATGAGAAGGCGTTTGACAGCGTGGACAGGAAAACATTATGGAAACTTCTTCGACACTATGGAGTTCCTGAAAAGATTGTCAACATTATCCAAAACTCATACGATGGACTACAGTGCAAAGTCATGCATGGAGGACAGCTGACAGATGCATTTCCAGTAAGGACCGGAGTCAGACAAGGCTGTCTACTCTCCCCATTCCTTTTCCTTCTAGTGATTGACTGGATTATGAAGAATTCGACATCTGACGGGAAATACGGAATACAATGGACTTCTCAGAATCAATTAGATGATTTGGACTTCGCAGATGACCTAGCCCTCCTCTCTCGTACACACGAACAAATGCAGATGAAGACAGCAAATGTAGCAGCAGCCTCCGCATCTATAGGCCTCCACATTCACAAAGGAAAAAGCAAGATTCTCAAATGCAACATGGAGAACACCAACCCAATCACACTTGATGGCGAAACTCTGGAAGAGGTGGAGACATTCAAGTACCTGGGGAGCATCGTTGATAAACAAGGAGGATCGGATGCAGATGTAAAGGCGAGGATTGGCAAAGCAAGGGCAGTATTTTTACAATTGAAGAACATATGGAACTCAAAACAACTCTCAACCAATTTCAAGGTCAGAATCTTTAATACGAACGTCAAGACAGTTCTACTGTATGGAGCTGAAACGTGAAGAACTACTACGACCATCATCAGGAAGGTACAAGTATTTATAAACAGTTGTCTACGCAAAATACTCAACATCCACTGGCCGGATACTATCAGCAACAGCGTTTTATGGGAGAGGAAAAATCAGCTTCCAGCTGAAGAGGAAATTAGGAAAAGACGTTGGAAGTGGATCGGACAGACATTAAGGAAATCACCAATGTGCATCACGACTCCATCCCTAACTTGGAATCCGGAAGGTAAGCGGAAAAGAGGAAGGCCAAAGAACACAGTACGCCGGGAAATAGAAGCAGATATGAAAAGGATGAATAGCAACTGGAAAGAACTGAAAAGGAAGGCTCAGGACAGAGTTGGATGGAGAATGCTGGTGAGCGGCCTATGCTCGTCGACGAGGGGTAACAGGCGTAAGTAAGTACATTTCGAACAATCTGATCACACATATACTTGTTAAGAACATGAAAACAATTGTGTCACATCTCACTGTGTTTACCAATTTAAAGGTGTCTGTGGTCACACATACATAGGGAGGAGCAATCGTGATCTCGAAATTAGGGTGTGTGAACATGTACCAAAATGGTTGCAGAAACAAATAGAATCAAATGAACCAATAAGAGTAGAGGATAAACATCCATCATCCTCTATTGCTAAACATATAATCGAAACAGGTCATAAGATTGATCTTAACTCGGCTTTTGTGGTATATGTTGTTCTAACTTTGTGGTGTTGTATAAAAGTGTAAAAGGGTGTATAATAAGGTTTATTGAAGCCTTAGTCATACGAAAATTGAAACCCCCTTTGTGTTTTCCAAAACCGTTTGTTCTCAGCTTAAACCGACACTGATAATATTAGCTTATTATCCAGAGTGATTAGGGGTCAAATTGTTCTCACATTATTTATTTATTTATTATTAAAAGACTAATATTTGAACGAAGAATATTCTTTTCGATAAATTCTCTTCAGGTTCTACAATTATATATCTAAATTAATAATCCGAAAAATTGGCCAGGTTAAAGGCAAAGTACATCGTTTAAAGCATGTAAATTTAGGATTGTCAAATCAAATAGAATAAAATTGTTAATGTTGATATGACTCATATAGAATGTTAACTTGAATCTGTATATATGTAAAGTGAAAATTTAAGATCTGTGATCAGAATATAAGTATGGGTCAGATAGGGTGAGAGAGATTGATAGTGCAATTACAATTCGATCAAGTGGAAGACTAAATGTGTGAAAAATTAGTGAGACGTAATAAAGAGGGATCAATGGATCTATCCAAAAATCTTTCAACGCAGGTGAACTACGTTTGGTGTTTTCTACGCGTCCAATGGTGACACCGAGGCTTAAAGATGAAGTTCCTAAAATGACCACTTCATTTTGTATTTATCAGTTCGACTGCTCCTGTGGAGCAAGTTATATTGGTCGAAGTTCTAGGAATTTACATTTTCGTGCTCGTGAACACCTCCCAGCGTGGCTAAGCAAAGGTCTGATGAGGAAAGTAAACAGCTCGATTTTGGCCCATTTAGTACAAACTGGTCATAGTGCCAGTATAAACCAATCGCGAGATTCGAACCCAGGACCTACCAGTCTCGGGCCGAAGCCCTTAACCGATAGACCACTGAACTGGCATCCAACGGTGTAAATGTCTAACTTCAACTGATCCACGAAGTTGAGCAACCATTCACCAATTGTCTTCAGTGAGTTCCTATCTCACAACAGACGTAGTTGAACTCCACTGGTCACTGCTTCCCACTAGAACTCCAGGACATGTATCTTGAAGTCAGATCATAAGCGTTTGCCAACAAGCAGCCAATGGAATCATAGCAAGCAAAGGCTTATAAATATTATAAGCAAAGATGGATGGTGGCTAGCAGTAGAATCTAGGGCACATGTTTTGTCCTATTTGAGACTCGTTATCTGGATGTAGCTGCATCCCAGAGTTGATGTTCACTCTGAGACTCGAACACGGTACTATTCGCTTCAAACGCAATCGCGTTATCCACTCAGCTACTGAGTCCTTATAGATACTTGCTTTTGCAATGGGATGAAGTTTGTATTCACTCGGTATTTGATTGAGATCATGAACCGATTGATGTAATACCACCATTGAAAACCTAGCAGCACTGGATGGCTGTTCCGTTCTACTTTCTGACTCCTCAACAGTGTACATCCGCGATCCCACCTCGTGAGATTCGAACCCAGGAACTATCGGTCTCGAGCGTGAACCCTTAACCTCTAGACCACTGAGCCGGCGTCCAACGATGCTAACGTCTAACCTCAACCAATCTACGAAATTGAGCGACCATCTTCCATTGTACTGAATTGTATACCTATCTCTACCTGACATGGATTAGCTCTACTGAAGAGTTTCACACTAGGATGAAACAGCTGTCCAATGCCTCCAGTTTTTTCAATGGTAGTCTAGCTTAAATTGACTCATGAACTCAACTATTAAAAATTACCACAATCTCCACAAATCCCTATTCTGATACTATTTCAAAAGTTAAATTAGCTCTCCCATTTATGCGCTTTATGGTTAGCTTATTTATATTGGCATATTATTAATAAATTGTAACATTTTTTAAGGCGTCATTTGATAATATAGATTTCTTTTGTAACGAATTGGTGTAAAACTGAAAAAGTTTGTCTCTTGATATGCAGAATAACTGTTTGAATAGACACTTCAGCTTAACAAGCTATCTTTTAATCTGTTCAATGATGTACTCGATGGTCATGAGCAGTGGCATATTAAAGGATCACGATAAGACATCTAGAAAAATTATGTTTTCTACCAGCATTCACATCTCCTATTTTGAAAAAGGAAGTCTAAAACATCTTTACCGCTTCTTTTCTACGACTAATTTGTCCAGAGGTTTTAAGATTCGAACTTACCACTTCACAATTTAACTATATGAAGTAAGATAATCAATTAGATTTTCTCTAAAGGTATAACTATTTCACTATACATCAGAGTAAAGCTTAATGATAATTTGATTAAAAATTAGATTATCAACAATTTACACAAATTAGAACAACCCATTATTATTGATTAGACTTACATAGGAACTAAATTTGATATACAGTAATACTGATACTCTTAGAGAAAATCTAATAGGCTATGAATCAATTCTTTCTAACAGCGGTTCAACCTTTGAAATCTTTTTCGTTTCTCTTCTTCACTATACTAGACTGATTGTTCACAAATTTCTTATCATTACTAGTAAACTTGTCGTTTTGCCATCGAGTTATATAGTTAAGTTATTATGTTTTGTTATTGCATCTGTTTCATTATTAACATTGACTCATAAGCTATACTGTACACTAGAAGAATTGATGAGACTATAACTGATGGATGACCCTTGAGAGACGTTACAGTGACCTTGAATGTATCCACCTAATAACTAGGATCAAATGAAGGTTATAAACCAGTGTGAGAAATTAGAATTATGATTTACAGTTGATGGTTAGGGTTAGGAATTAGATTTGATGTTTACATTACGGACTGACATCAACTATAATGTCAAAACAATATTTTGCCAAATGGATGAGTGAATTTTAAGCCAAAATCCAAAACCTGTTATCTTATAACTGATTGGTTCGTTCATCATTTTTAACTTGAACTGCACACTTATTAGGTTTCATGAAAGTAAACTTTACCATTTCTTTATTTCTGTTTCTTCTTTACTCAGATGATGAAGTAGTTGAAACAACATGGGTTGTTAAATTGGGTGATAAAAATATAACTGATAAAGATCTACTTGATTATCTGAATAATCAAACAAAAGATGATGATTTATTTGAACGTAAGAATGAAGGTAACAATTCAGGTATGTAAATCTATAGTATTATTTATAATCGTTATTATAATCAGTCTTCAGATTACTTTACAGATATTAATCGATAAGAGGGAATATATATTATTGTGGTTAACAAAGTAGTGTCGGTTGCTATGTTAAGCATCCCGACAAACCAACTTATCCATTCTTCTCAAGCTATATTTTGATCTTGTTAGTTATTCGCTTGTCAAACTTGACTGTTTTTATATAAACGTATGTGTGTACACTTCTTATCCTATTCATCACATGTCTGTGACTTATTTCTGTGTGACTACAAACATCGATTAGCTCTTGATTAAACTGAGTTGGCTCATATGTCTTCTTCACTGTGTGCCACTTCGCTTCGCTTCGTTCCTCTGACTGTCTGTTCAGATCAATGAGTATACAAAATATGTGTATTCAAAACTCCATTCTCGTATTTGACTTATTTAACTCCGTTATTCACTAACGTCAGTTAAGTCGATAATTATATACGAGGATCGACAATATGTATAAGTCAACAACAATCAATCTAATGATCTAATTGAAGTCAGATACCCAGCCAGTAAATATTTAAAAACAACTCTTTGTACTTATATTGAACCTATTAAGGTTTAATTGAAGAATGCTAATTCTTCCTTATTATATATATGTTCTCTTAGATTTTCAATTTTTTAACTCGAAGTTTTTAAGTGAAAGTTTATTACGGTGTCATTAGATTGTAGCTTTTAATTTATTACACTAGTATAACAGGATCGTGTTTATTCATTCAGGTATGATGAGTATAGTGAAGTTTATGTGAAAGAAACATTCAGATAGTTGAACGTCAGGTTTAATGGAGATAAACAATATTTGAAATGTATTCCTCAATTCTCAAATAAACTTAAGAAGCTTGAGAATAGATCGTTATTAATGTGTTATTAATGTCGATAGATATAAGTAGTACGTACCATAAATCAAAAATGAAATGCCCGGGTGTAGAAGATTAAGAAGATCAAAGAAAAGAGAACGAGAACAAAGAATGATTGCCGTGGAAACGAAAGAACAATGAAGTCTGAAACGAATGACTGATATTTCCAAAAGGAACAGTTAAAATGAGACAATTGATTGATACTTTGCAAATGAAGTATTTACTGTGTGATTCTCAGATTTTACTAAGATGTTCTGTAATATAGTATTCAAGTATATTCCAACAAAAGAATAATCCTGACATGATCATAAATCTATACTACTGAAGAGTAGTATACTAGAACGAGATAGTTACCCAATAGTCTTTAATTCTTTGATAGCTATTCATTGAAATTCCGTTGTACTTGATATAAAAGATCTTCACAAACTTGTTATCTTAATTTATCGGCAAAAAAATCATACTTTTTTGCATGCTAAAATAGGTAAAAGCCCAATAGAAACGGAAACATCCTGGTTTACGATGGGTAGAAAAGCTAATTTAACACAGAGAGAGATTATGAAGTTCTTTGATGATCAATTGAATTTAGACGACCTGTTAAAAACAGTTTTACCAACTGGAATAGAAAAACCACCTCCACGTAAGTAAATAGAATGGATATATTATTTTTCGGGTCTTTTTCTTTTCATATCTCTTGGAAGGAAAATACCCATCTTGAACAATAAGCTAAAAGATTAAACATTTTGTAAACTAAAGTATGTGTCATGCTTTAAAAGAAATATATTTATTATATTCAGTGAGATAAATAAGGAATATTAGTATATTTCGGTAGATGAAAATAATCTAAAAAACCCTTGATTTCGGTTTTGTTCTATTTGGCACTTTTCAAGAAGTTGTGCCAGTAGTTTCGAGGGTACTGAGGCTCCTTGGATTGTCCGACCTTGTGTTACCTAGGTTTCTAGTCTGAGACCTTACCACTGAGAATTTCGGGCTGTGGCTGACCCTATCCAAAACTGAGATATTTACAACTGACTTATTGGAGAAAATAATTTCCTACAGATGTAATTCTGAACTATTCTCTAGACCGTCGAGGACAGAGTCTTAAGGCTTGAAGTTGAGTCGATTAACCTCTGACCTGCAAGTCATTCAACCTTGTCAATCAGCCGATGAGAGGAAAGGAACTACAGTGTGTGAGACTACATGTAGTAACCAAAATACTGTAAATACATGTTTTATAGTCATTTTAATAGTTGACATCATGAGTCAATTGAAGCTAGACCACCATGGATAACTTGGAAGCACTGGACGGCCGTTTCGTCCACAAAAACCCCCTTCTGATAATAATCATATGCTCCCTAGTGACTGACTCAAAGAGGTATTTCCTGAAGTTCTAGTGAGAAGGAGTGACCAGTGGGGTTGAACCGGGTCTGTTGTGAGATAGTAACTCAGTGAAGACAAATGTGGATGGTTGATCATCTTCGTAGATTGGTTGAAGCTAACCATTAACACCGTTGGATGCCTGCTCAGTGATCTAGAAGTTAAGCGTTCATGAGCGAGACCGATAGTTCCTGGTTTCAAATCTCCCAAGGTGAGATCGAGGATGTGCACTGTTGAGGAGTCACACAATAAAATGAAACGTCCATCTAGTACTTCTAGATTTTCCACGGTGGTTTAGCTTCAATTAACTCATGATCTCAACAATTGAAACTTCACTTCTGTATTTATTTTTACTTGAGGAAAATTATTTTATACATTTCTGATGAATATATACATAAATATCTTTTTTAAGGTGAAGTGATCTCAAGGAAAGTTTGGATCTCAGATGGTCTTGACAAAGAAATAAAACGATGGAATATTGACCAATTTGTACAAGATACATTTAAGAATATATTAAAAGAAAGTAAGTAGATGGTTGCAATAATTCAATCATAGACCTTCAAAATATGATTGTTTACATAATATAATATAATATATATCAACCCACTCCAAAAATTTAAAAAATGTATATATCCAACTCAGTTGATTATTTAAGTTGACTTTGAAATATTGTTGACTTAAAAAATAATCATAATGTTTATATCAATCCGTTATTCATCTATAGACGATTTCAAACCTTTTACAAATATGTACCTGTATAGTGTTGTGAAGATTGAATAAACATTAGACCACCATTGAAAACCTGGAAGCAATAGACAGTCGTTTCGTCCTAGAATGGAACTCTTCAGTAGTATACTAGGATGAAACTGCAGTCTAATGCTTTCAGGTTTTCAACATAATAGTTTCATTCTAATTGGTTAGTTATAAAAACTTATTATATTCTACATCTGTACAGAAAAATTGTTCAATCTCTTAGGTCTTTTATTTATTCTGATAAATAAATTTATGTATTAATATGATTAGAAATCTATGATGATTATTATACAAACTAGATATCATAGAAAATAATACAATTTAGACCAGACAAAACTTGATCAACATAAACAAATGTTATAAGGTAGGTCCTGGGTTCGAATCTCGCGAGGCGGGATCGTGGATACGCACTGTTGAGGAGTCCCACAATAAGACGAAACGGCCGTCAAGTGCTTCCAAGTTTTCTATGGTGGTCAAGCTTCAATTGACTCATGATCTCAACTATATAAAATGTTATAAGCAATGATGGATAATGGCTAGCAGTGGAATCCAGGACGCGCGTTTCGTCACGACTCAGTAGCTGAGTAGATAACGCGATTGCGTTTGCACCGAAAGGTACTGGGTTCGAGTTCCACAGTGAACAACAGCTCTGAGATACAGTTACATCCAGATGACGAGTCCCAAATAGGACGAAACACGCGTCCTGGATTCCACTGTTAGCCACTATTCATAATTGCTTATAATGCTTGTGAATTGATGCTATATCGAGGCAATACGCACAGTATGCACATATGCTAATAAGAGACTGACCAGTAGCAGTCCTAAACATCAATGGGAAGATCCAAACAAAACAATACTAAGTGAATATAAACAAATGTATTGTATTTCGAATTAGAAATCAAATTCAATATCAAATAAAATGGAATTATCAAATTATTAAAACATTAAAACATTATATTAATAATTGTAAAACTATTTTCATAGTTAAAATCATGAGTCAATTTCAGCTAAACCACCATAGAAAATCTGGAAGCACTGGACATCCGTTTCGCCCTATTGTGAGACTCCTCAGCAATGCGTATCTACGATCCTGCCTCACGAGATTCGAACCCAAAACTTACCAGCCTCGCGCCACAACGTTTAACCACTAATGATTAAGCGTCAAAATGGCCGTCAAATGCTTTCATGTTTTCCATGGTGATCTAACTTCAATTGATTCATGATTTCAACTATGAAAATACTGAAATCTTCACAAAACCCTCTTCTGTTAAAAATAATAATAAAAATTTGAAGAAGAAAAAACTATTTTGATTAATCGTAATATCTCCATTATGAAGATGCCTTCATTCCAATTGGGTTTTTTTTCTTTCTTTTTTTCGTTTTCCTTTCAGAACCAAATAAGAAGGATATTAATAATAATAATAATAATAATAATAATAATAATAATACACAGAATGATGTAGAATATGAATATTATTAGAAGTGTACTTTAATAAATCAATTAATTTAATTATTTTGGGATAAGTTTAATTACCATAATTAATCATTATCATTATTGACTTCATTATTATTATTATTATTATTATTACTATATACCTTTAATACTTATCCCTATGTTAACAATCTTTATCATAGAAGATAATGTAGAAGATAATATTCAATTACATATATAAATTGTTCAATGTTAAACAATGTGTTAATAAAAAAATTATAAAATCACCTGTTTTCTGATGAGTTTCAAGTATCAGTCTGTAATGATTTGGTTTCAACATAATTCTTTAGAAGAATGGGGGTTTCATGGAGATTTTAGTAATTTTATATCGTTGAAATCATGAGTCAATTGAAGTTAGACCATTATAGGATGAAACGACTGTCCAGTACTTTCAGGTTTGCCATGGTAGTCTAGCTTCAATTGACTCATAATATTAACTATATAATTCCTTAGGTTTCATTTATCAATCACACTGATAACCCTTATTAAATACGTCCTAATGGTGTATAGATTTAGAAAGTAACATGAAGTTCTGATTACTGTTTATTATTGAATAATGCAGATAATAAAATTACAAGCATACCAAATGGATTCAAGCAGAAAAACTAATGCGTGCAAACAAGCAAGTACAGAGGCGGATTCACAGTTAAATCGAATCGGATCGAAGTAAAGCAAAGCAAAGCAATTAATAAGATTCAAGCACATATATATGAGAAAGAGAATGATTCATCGGGTGATATTCGAGCAACTAATATTTTAGCTAGAGAGAGATGTGTGCATAGGCTGTCACATGTGATTAAGCATACACGTTTATGCAGACACGATAGTGGTTATAATAAGACTAAGAAATAGACATTTTGTTGCTGTTCTTATAACTGTTAAATAAGTTAATTGAAGAGCGTGACAAAATTAACTGTAAACAAACTTAATTGTAAGAGAGGTGCTATAAGTTGACGTATTACGATAGGTCAAACTGAAGATCTCATTTAGAGTTTCACACAAATGTATTTCAGTAAATTCTCTACATGAGCTAAAATGATTAAGCTATATCGAAATCTATTAGTGTTTTCTAATAGTAATCATCAACTTTTAAAGCTATTGTATTATCGTATACTATATTAGCTAATTCACTAGTTTATTTCATTCATTTACACCTTAAGCAAAGGAAGATAGAAGTTTCTCTGTTAGTTGGACATATTATGGTAAATCTAACTCTTATAGAATTGTAGATGACGTCGAGTCTCGATTGAATATGATCAACACTACGGTAAGAATACGCGCCCGAAATCGACTTGGTTCCTTCGCTAGCTCATAAACCAGAAGGCTGTAATTAGTCCAGATAAAGTATATTTATTGGCGATCTCGTGGTATCGAAAGATGTGACAAAGCGTACAGGCGATAAGGGCAGAGCGTAAGAAAGTCCTAACAGATAGGGTGGGCGATTGAACAAAAAGTGATTTTGATACAGTTAAACAACAACGAGTATGGTAAAACAATCACTGGTACTAGTGGTTATAATAATAATTGTTTCCATTATTCCAATCGTGTTCTCGTCGAGAAAAGCAGGTCACTACAGAATATTGTTAAGAGCCCAATGGCTCAAAACGGAATATTTTGCAGGCATATTTAGAAACATCAGCAACTGGTAAAATGTCATTCTTTTTACATTTGCAAAAGCAATATGCTTTAGTATGTGAACGTGATCATTATATTCTAAAACCAGCAAAGATAGGCAATTATTATGTATTGGGAAATAATTGTTCAAAATGAACCACTATATTAAAATTAGATACTGATACAAACCTTGTTAGTTATAAGAGGGACTATTAAGAGAAGGCTCTTAATCGAGCATTATGGCCAATGCTCGGCACAACTTAAGTGAGACGTATAGTAACGTGTATACCACATGTTTCTCTATTTGTAACATTTTATATGTAATCGCATCTATATTCAGTTTCTATTGTTTCCCTGCATAAATCGTAAAAAGTAAACATAACCGTTTGGTTGTATGAATACATACACACGCTACCGCTGTTATTAAAATAAACTCTATCTCTGTCGTCCGACCTTCTACTTTATTGGCTCTGGCCTTTGATTCAAGATTATAATAGTGTTGTAACATTCTTTTAAGCCACTACTTTACACTACTTTATAGCTTTGGCTCAGAATATTATTGAATGATACTATCAGATTTAGTCATTCTTGTCACATTGTTGGTGCCACCACGTGCGAAGGAAACTTCGTTAATCAAGTGAACTCGTTCGTGGTTGTTATCTGAGGAGAAACTTACAAGTAACATTCATTTCATAACAGTTGTTATCATCTTGTTAATAAATATACCATTTTCTTGTGAATGCTATTTGTTACCGTTGTATTTTTATTCAAAAACAGACATCAGTTTGTAGTGTCAATTGTTTTTGGTATATCATTAGTAACTGTGAGTATTGTTATATCTTTAATAGGAACTTTTACTGGTATGTGGTGTTTGTATGAACTATTGATTCCTTTATATTTGATGTGGGCCTTGTAGAATCCATTTTGAAGGTGAAAATCCCTCCATGTATACATTTGCAAATTCTTCCTTGTGGTTTCTTTATTTGTATATATTGTTAACTTTTTTGATGCCAATTGAGACTGTAACGTTTAATTTTCTCGGTTTTACTATCGTTTTCATTGAGTTCCTATGATTCTTCTTGAACTGTATTTAATTTGTTTTAATTGATATTGTTCTGGCGGCTGCCATATTGACTGCTCGCTCTTTGATTGTGCGGTTTGATTTTGACTGGGATCGTGTATTTTGGTTGTAAATTGGAGCACTTTCCCAGAAATTGAAACACTCTGTGTTATAGAACAGCAGCTCAAACGGAATCTTACTTGACCTATCCAGAAAGGATAGAATAACACTTACCTTTTGGTGTTTTCGGTAATTTTCATATATTTCTTACCACTTTGCTATTCATTATAATTTAGATTAAATATTTTGGGATCAATTGTTGGTTGAATAACTGGAAGGTAATATTTGTTTAGGTAAATTTGTACATTTGTATATATGATGAAATTTAGAACCGTTATTACTCCAAAACACCTTGTTCTGATTTCGATTGGAAAACGCGTTACTAAACTTTTACTCTAGTTATTCAACCACATCCAGACCTATTGGAATTTAGGTTTGGATCTTACAGGCCTGATTTCCAGTTCTAAATACAATACGTTCGTTTGTGTTCATCCAATACTCTTTGGTCTAAATTGTGTTATTTCAGGAATTCCTAGATTGTATGCTATTTCAAATACTTTTATTCATCACATAATACTCACCACAAATCTGGTGAGCCCTTAAATTTGTTTTCGAAACTGTAGTTTTGAGTTCAGTCACAAACATTTAGGCTTTCCTTTTTCTCTTGCCAGTATTTGTGTTTTGTATATTTATAATGTATTCATCCGAATTTGAATTTATTAGCCAGGGCAGTGATTCAACGGGATTACACGCTCTCAGCGTGATAAATGTGCATCCATTCTGTAGATTAAGCCCACGTATTTGGTTTGCACAGATGGAAATCCAGTTTCAGCGTCGTAGCATACGCTCACAGGCATCAAAATAGTCTTTCATATTTAGAATCCTGCCAACCAAAGTGACATCTGAGGTATCTGACTTTAAAGATAATGCTCCTGAAATAGAAGTCTATGATCAGTTAAACCAGGCAATTATCCAACGTTCGTTGGTATCGGATGAAACAAATGTTACAAAAATTGCTACGTGAGTGAGAGTTAGTTGACAACTCACCATCTCAATTATTGCGTCGGACGAAGCAGTTGGTTGGACTTGGTACGACACCTTACGTTCAGAAGATATCAAACACTCTGAGCAGCACTAACACTCTGAACATAACATCGTTAACAGCTGGATTGAACGACATACATACACGTCATGTGCGCACTGTTTCTAGCCTTAAAACAAGCTAAATGTATTACAATTATTAATTCTCAATCTCACATCTCGAGGGTATTTATCCAATTCTAAGAGGAGTATGAGCCGAAACTCCACAAAAGCAAACAGATACGAAGACCACACCTATTGATACCATAGAAAATATGGCGATAAAGTAGGGAAGTGTTTCATGTCCTGTGATTTTTTTTGAGTCATTTTCCTTGTTGACCAGATAGCAGTGACAACGATTGTTACTAGTTATGGCATGTCGTTTCTTCCACGTCTTGAACAAGACTTCAGGTAACAAATTCCTAGTGGAGACTGGAGTCGAAGTCAGCGTTATCCCAGTTACCTTAGCCATGAGACCTGTTTCGAGATGTAGAAAATACTCATTAGGAGTAGCCAATAAAGCTGAAATAAAGACATCTGGAGAACAACTGCTGATATTAGGCATGGGGATTAGACGTCTAGCCCGGGTTTTTATTATCGCTGATGTTGGGTGCAGACCTATTAAGCCTCTACAACTTACTAGTTGGTGTTAAAAAACGAAAACTCATCGATTCTTGGACGAAACTGCAATTTATGAGAGTGCAATAGGATTATCATACATAGTATGAAAATCAACCCCCCTGGTAATGATATATTTACTAACGTTTTATCCAAGTTTCGCGAAATAACGAGACCAAACTACTAATAAAATACCACTCGACCTTCGGTAGTACATCGGATTATTACAAAAATCCAATCAGTTCCGGCACGTCCACGTCGATTGCCACTGGACAAGCTTAACATTGCAAGGGCAGAATTTGAGCATATGGTGAAACTTAGTATAATACGTCCATCGAGTGGCCCCTATACATCTTCACTCCACATGGTACCTAAGAAGGATCAGGACTGACAATCTTAAAGTGATTGTCGGCAGTTGAATAGCTTAACATTACCTGACCGTTACCCCATTCCCAATTTACACAATTTTTCACTAACGTTACATGGAAAACATTTCTTTTCTAAAATCGATCTGGTGCAAGCTTATCATCAGGTTTCAGTAGTATACAAGGTTATG